GGTCTCACGCGGAGCACAAAACTGCACCTGATTTGGCGACGCACTGAACTCAGCAGTATCTCGGTTGCTTGTGTGCTCTACACAGGCAGTATCAAKAACAGTTTTAAGCTCTGAACATCAAATACATTCCTCTCTCTTCCCCCAGTTTTCCTCTGGCTCATTAGATGTTCTTCCCTGAAGAATAATAGCGGATATTTATTGCACAAGAAGTACACTGGAGATGACGCTTTTGCACTATTTTCTCTATCCCAGATTAATAAAATATTATAAAAAATATACATGTATATAAAATCTTATAAAAAATTCTTAGTGATTAATACTACTGTGAGGTTCCCAACATCCATTTTAGATTTAATCATGCTATCTATGAAAAATACAACTTCCAAATTTATTCTGTTAACAAGGAGTACATCTGATGCAAGTTTAAGCCGTTCTGGTTTGGAATAGCTGAAGCAGAAGCTCTTCTAACTTTAAATCTTTCTTCTGATGTTAGGATGGAGAGAGAGTTTTCTATATCACATACCTACATTTGAGATTCATCTGATGAATCAGAAGGTAACAGGTATCATTCACCTAGGAATATCTTACAATGTGAACTAATTCAGTGTCAAGAATATTTCCAATGTTTTCCCCATGTGAAGAGACTAACATTAAATATATGTTTTGTTTGCTTCTTAATGAAGATTTGCACTAGAGTCAWCATATTTTCATTTTCCATTTTATTTTCTGCAGCTGGTTGATATCCTTCTAATTAGGCTGGTAGCTGATGGTTGTCCATGGTGTGCTAAAAAGTAGAGTTCAGTGTGAAGGTCTGTGACAAAAGGCTAATGAAATACAGCTCCTTCAGCTGTAATTTGAAATTCGTAAGATTTTTATCTTAAGGATCTTAAAAATCTTAAGACTTTTATCTTTTTATTTTACCAAAAGCACCGGCCTAGTGTAACTACTTGTATTTAATRTGCTTTTTTCATACATTTCCCCTTGGAAAAATACTTTCTCTTTTACTTATCTGTAACTGCKCATTTTTTGAACACCATACAAGTATAATGTTTAAAAATGAACGTGATAGTATTCTTACAGTAATAGAGAAAAGTGTATTACTGCTCTGAGCTTAGGTCTTCATGACGCTAATATTTCCCTTTCTGGTAAATTGTTAAAACGTGAAGTCTTGTTATCATTGCCAGACTTTACAGGACAGAGTCCTTTTTTAGACACCCTTAGACTCTTTTTCAGACACTCTTCTGGAGCTTTCGAGTAATTTGACATGTTCTGTGTGAAAACAGCACAACCTTCTGAAATTGCCAAATAAGTGGTATTAATGAGCTCCCATTTTTAACTATTAATGTCTTCCTGTAGGAGAGATTACAGTTGGAAGAATTACGCTTTTCAAGATGACAGATTGCTGATGTTTGGAACTAAAGATTCTGAATTCATTATTACAGTTAGGACTGTTGGTTATTTTAGTCTCATGCTAGTCCGGTGCAGATGGATCCTTAACTGGGACATGAAGGGAAATGTGCACTACCACTGTGCTGAGCAAGGATATTGCTGTCTCAGGAAATTAGTGTCTTTGAAGCACAAATGTTACTCAAAACAACCCATCAGTGACACCTAGATAGTAAATATAATCCACACATGAACGAAGGAATAGAAAATCAATTATTTTCAGTTTYGGAGTGCTGCATCCAAACTGGTTTCAAAAGAAACTGTAAAATTTCACGTGACGTCAAGTTAAACAACTTGGGCCTCTCCTCCTGTCCTTTGTGCAAATTCAGAGTCTTTTAAATGGAATTGGTACCTGGGTGCAGTAAAATGACAGCCCTGCTCTCCCATATGGAAGGATTCAACAGCTCTGAAACCCGCATTGCTTTGGGAGTGCTCAAGTCTGTAACTTCAGTGAAGTTACCCAGCTTATACTAAAGTAATAAGGACAAGCTTGGCCTCTTATCTTCCTCAAAGTATGCGCTGCAGCATTTTAATGCTGCTCAGGAATTAGCAGAAATGTCAATCATGCTTTAACAGAGCCTAAAAATACCCTCTAGTCAAATGGATTGTCACAGAAATACTGAAAATGTAGAAGGACCCACAGTTCCTGCTGATTTTTTGGGTTAGTTGCATGGTCCTACTCATGTATGAAGAGTCTCTCTTGGRAAGCAGCATATGAGTCAAAACCAGATACATTTTATAATTACAGACACTGTATAATCCCATTTATTTAGCATAAGCACTGGGTAAATAAGCGTGTAAAATGAAGGGTTTCTGTAAATGCCTGGTCGGTTTGAGTATTTTAGAGGTCAGCATCCGAAGTGTGACCTCCTGAATAAGGTCCAAGCTGTCTTGGAGCAGCTAGACTTGCGAGTCGTTGCTGCAAATCTCAACTGTTGTAAACATGAGGTGGTAGAGAGGGAAAATGAGATTATTTCAAAAAGCTTTTTGTTAGCTTCTGTGTCAGAGGCAGGTGGGGTCTTCTTCGATTTCTAAGCTATCTACTTACAAGACATTTAAGCAGAACATSAATATAATAGATAACCCCTCTTGGCATGAAAACCTTGAGATTTCGCGTGTGCTTGTTCTGTCAGGAAGTTGCTCCATCAGCAAGTTGCYCTATCTAGTAAATTAGATAAAGGATTTAAGAATATTTACAGTTCTGAATATGCACCATGGAGCTGGATAACCTTTAAATTATTTTTACAGGTGCTAATTAGTCTCTTCAAAAGTGCCTCAGTTACTTCATCTTTTTTAATATTTGCATGCATCACTTTTTTTTCCTTGTAAAAAATGTGTTATAAAATTCTTCCATATAYATCTCCAGTAAGTTCTTTAAACACTCTGCATGCATAATCTAAAAATTCACAAAATAAAACATTTATATTTCTGCTTTATGTCACTATTCTTTGCTGTTCTCTGAGGAGGAAAAACGAAGAGGACTTGAAGTCCTCTTAATGTGTCTTTCTCTTGAAAAAACAAGCAGGTCTCTTAAGTCCTCTTGCTGCTTTATTTCCACCAAATCCTACCAATAAAAGGGCACTGTTAAATACTTTGGCCCTTAGTTTTGGTGTGTTGTTTGCTGCCTTCAGCCTAACAGTGAATATCGTGGCAGGTTGTAGCTTTCCAAGTCCTGGTGCAGGGAATGAGCTGCAGGATCCTCTGCCGCAGCGGTTGTTCCCTCATCCTTCTGCTTAGGAGACGTCTCCGAGGGGAAGTTCCCGGCACCTGGAGCGCAGGTACCTGCATCCCTGGCCGCTTCCCGCTGCTCTCACCTCCCTTCCTCCCAGCTGAGCACTGGGACAGGGTAAATACTGGGCAGCCCTGGCAGCTCCGTGCGCGCAGCCTCACCTGGCCCGCGTGAGGCCCTGCAAAGCTAAACGTCCCCGCTTCTCTTTCTGCCCTTCAGCGCATATTCCTATGGAAATATTCTTTGCACTCTGTTGTAAAAGACTGGGGTTCTTCTTTTTCTTTTTTCCCCAGTGAATGTGCTGGATATCTAAGCTCTACCTAGGCGAATGTTCCGAGTGGCGTTGTGCCCCCGGTGCACACGCGGGTGTTTACGGAGGCTCCCATCTCCCGTGCACACTCCTGATCACGCCCGTGCAGCTGCCCCCCTGCATGTGCGTTTGGGCACTGGGTGCTGCCCATGTACCAGCCCCTCTTCGGTACTTGCAACGCGCATCCCCAGGCCATTCCTTGGCCGTTTACGCAATTAGTTTAATGAACTTTGCTTCCGAGTCGCTATGCGATTGGCAGCTCCTTGGCTTGACAGCTTTACAGAGCACTGGCTAGCGGAGCGGGCGATTCCGCTCTGCTAGGGAAGAGCGAGCGCGCCGAGGCGGCTCGGGAGCGCGGCGGCCCCGCGGGCAGCGCTGCCCGCCGCTCCCGCTCAGCAGCCGCGCACGGAGCCAGGGACGGAGCCGCCGCTCGCGCTCCCGCTCCGGCTGCACGGCCGCGGCGGGCGGGAGCCCGCGGGCCCGGGCGCTGCGGGGCGGAGCGGAGCGCGCTGGCCGGGCGCGCTGCGGCGGCCGCCCCGCTCCGCGCCGTTCCCTGCCGTTCCCTGCCGTTCCCTGCCGTTCCGCCCGCCCCGGGCCCTGCGGCTGGCCGAGGAGGTGAGTGCGGCACCTGTCAGC